GAACCAGGCGGGCCTCGCCCTCTTCGACCGGATGCGCTCCTACCCGCCCAACCCGCCCCGCAGCGGCGGTGGCGGCAGCGGCGGCGGCGAGAAAGCCTCCGCCGCTTCTCACTCCACGAAGCGGCATCCCCGAACGTTTCTGAGAGTTTCGCTCCCGAACGGCGGCGGTGCGGCGGCAATGGTGCAACCCGCCGCCCCCGCTGCTCCTGCTAGACAGCGGCAGTCTGCTAGAGACGCTGGTGCTGACAGTGCTGACAGCGTCGAGAAGAGCGGTGGTGAGGTTGTTGGAGGTGCCGTGGCGTGCCGGGAGAGGGCTGGCGTCGCCGGGGGGGAGGGGATCAGCACCGCTCATCCCCGGTCGGCAGTGGCGGCAACAGAGGGCGCGGAAGTTTCGGCGGCGGTGGGTGCGGGCAAGGGAAAGGGGCAGGGGGGTCGCTCCGCGTTCAGAGCGTCCTCTCCGCCGCGCCCCGATACGGCGTCGTACAACACGGTCATCGCGGCGGTGGCGTCGGCGTGGGGGTGGGGCGGGCGGGGACAGGCCACGGCGCTGCTCAGGGAGATGGGGGTACGGAGCGGTTTTCGTTGAGGGGGAGGGGGGTTTCCGTGGTCGGTTTGCTTCCGTCTTTTGGTTTTCATTCAACACGCTTTGGTTTTGGATTTGCTTGCGTGGGGGTCGTAGTTCTTGCAGGCTAGATGCAGGCGAGATTGGTGTGAGGAAAAACTGTCGGTAAGGGCGGGGCAATGGCGTAGCGCTGATAGAGGCATGCGCGGGGGAGGAGATATTGGGAGCGATGGGCCTAGATTGTTGGGAGAGAGAAGGCTCATCAGCAACGGCCACATTCGCAACACCACGCCCGATTGTTTGAGCTAAGCCCCAACAACATGAAGAACAACAAGAACACGTAGCGGTCCGCGGTGACCTGTTTGCGTTCCCCCTGCGCGCGCCCACGAACGCGCGGAGTGTAGTGTGACACCGCCACCTCATCCCCTCTCCACGTGCGGTGCCTGGCGCACAAACTTTCCTTGTGTTCTGCTCTGTTTTGCGGCGCCGACATTTCGACCCCCCCCCCCCCCGGGCGAAGCACAAACCCCGGCACAACCCCCCCCCCCCCCCCCCAGGGGGAAAGGCCGCCGCCCGAACCGGGCCCCCCGAAAACCAAGGAAAAAACCGGAGGGGAAAACCAAGAAACCGCCGCCCAAAGGCGGCGGGGACCCAAAAAAAAACCCCCCCCCCCCCCCCGGGGGGAAGGGAAAAGGCCCCCCCCCCCCCCAAAAAAGGGGGGGGGGCCCAAAAACCCCCCCCCCGGGGGAAAAAAAAATGGGGGCCAAAAGAAATTTTTTTTTGTGGGGGGGAAAAATTTAACCCCCCCCCTTTCCGGG